AACTAAGTTGTTGGTTTGTATATGTAAAAAAAAAACAATAAATAGAATCTATGACATCTCTATTCATAAATCCAAAATTTAAAAGAATTCTACATATTTTGCTCTCTTTGAACGCACACCTCTAAGTGCACACATCTTTTCCTCATATCAAAATCATAAGAGTGTGCATTTAGAGGAGTCTGTTGTTTTTCATGTTTTTAGAGCAATATGAAGAGCAAATTAATTAATCATCTTTTTCTTTCTTTTTGTATATTGTTATTATATTATGAACATATTCCTGCATATATATTATATTATGAACATATTCCTGCATATATATTATATATCTATATATTGATTATATTTATGTATATCTATTATTTAAAGAGACGAGCTAATATTTTAAATAATCCTTTACCGGAAAATAATCCAGTTGATAAAGGAAAAAAATTAGAAAAAAATACTCAGATATTTAATGAATCAACCCATTTGAAAACAACAATTCATATATCCGTTCACTCATCCGTTCACGACAGTACCTCCGAAACAATTCCTGTTTGCAATATTGAATATCCTGAATTGGCTCTAATAAGGTTTATGTCAAAAGGAGGTTTTGGTGAAGTTCATAAAGGACTATATAAGAATAAATTTGTAGCAGCGAAATTTGTTATTCGTGAAACTCCTACACAATTAAGAGATTTCGACCGCGAGGTTTGTTGAAATTATGTAATAAGTCATGCGATAACTAGGGTATTATATGTCGATAATTGGGTTAAATTGTAGTTCTAGACTAATTCTACAATGAAATAAGACCATTTTTACGATAACTTTTAACATTGTCAAATTGAAATAAAAGTTATCGCAAAATGGCACTATTTCATTGTAGAGCCAGTTCAGAACTACTGTAAAAAATAAACCATGCAAGATAATTTGGCCTGTTTTACATTTTACTATTAAAGCGACGTCTACCTATAAATTATTTGTGGATACTATATCAAAATCCACAAATAGTTATCAACATATATTGCCCTAATCAACCCTAAAGCAGTCTAAGGAGCAGATCACTTGTATGAATAAAAATTAAATAGTCAATGAGCATCCTTTTTTATGCTTTGCAATTTAAAATTTTAATTCGATATCTTAAGACAGTATGCACCATATATAAAAGTAAATGCTTTTAATCTAACTATAATTTTCTAATTATATTTTTTTTAGTTAGCTTCCTTGAAAAAGTCAAAGAATTGTAAAGAATATATTATTCAATTCTTCGGATTAACGCAAGGTAAATTCGATATTTATTACCGTTATATTATGGTCGGACCATCAAAAGTAATATCGAGCAAACACATATATAATTGTAAACACGAGTGAAACCTGTAAAGTGATTTATTTACAGGTTTTTCCTGTGCATCACACATATATGATCTTTGATCATAAATATATGTGGATTGTAACACCAAACTCCAGAATTTAGATTCAGTAAATGATGTAGTTTGTAAAACGTGGTCGATAAAGATAACATCAATCAACAAATACTTTATTGTTTATTGTGCGATCACAAACAAAACAACTACCGAGCTTTCGTAATGCGGGCGAAAATTATTGATGGGAACTTGGAATAATAAAATATATTGCACAGCATCACTATATCAAAATATTAATAAGCAAGTATACAATTAACCAATCATTAACCAAACAAATACAAAGAAGATGCTTAATTTAATTCATGTTTTTATAAATGGTTTCATAACAGTTTCATAAGCAATTCATACCTCAGAAGACAATCAGCCAATCATACAATTCATACAATTCAATTTTATTATTTAATACCGGCAATTTCTCAACACACATGAATGATTGAATCAAACTTTATGAATTACTATCATTTATGTTTAATAATCACCAAAATCTGCCCATACAATTATGTGGATATACACACATACATACTTACGTATGTACCGATACCACTAATCCAAAGTTGGTCACACAAGCACTGCAATACGTAATGCGATGTTAGGTCACACTAAACAGGAAATTTCAAGAATAGAAAGTGGCTAAAAAAAAAAAATTAGGTCATGAAAATATTTAATAATCTAGTTGGCTACTCTGTGCTAGGCTAGGTCGAAATTTAATTCAATATAAAGCTTTAAACACGACAATCCAAACACCCTATGGTTGGCCACTAATCTATTCTTAAAATTTTACTTTATCAGGGTTGATGCCACTAGGCAAATAGCAATATTGATCCGATCGTAATCTTTAGAAGTGCAAGCATAATCTTATGCGTAATTTGCAATTCTAATTATTATGTTCTATATTTTTATTATTAAATGACTGATTTATTATTATTCATTAATTAATAATAGATCCTAATACAAGAAAATATATCTTGATTATGCAATTTGCTAATAACGGCACTTTAAAAGATTATCTTTGTAGCCGTAAAAATATTCTAACCTTAAATGAAAAAATTTTCTTGAACAAATCTATTCTCAAAGGATTGAGATTTTTGCATGGTCAGAAAATAATACATAGGGACTTGGTAAGCTTTATTAATTGCCATAACATTTCTATTACATCAGGAAATCTAAATTGACGTGAATTTTTGATTGATGCATTTGTTGATGGATACTTCTTAATCAAACATTAATATTAATCCATGTTTCTTGATTTTATGATTTTATTAATTTTATAGCATTCTAAAAATGTTTTAATGCATAATGGAAGACCTCTTTTGGCCGACTTTGGACTCTCAAAGTCTCTTCTAGAATCTAAAGATGGACATATATCAGAAGTTCGGGGAGTACAAGCTTATGTTGATCCAAGATTCCTAGATCAAAATCGAAGATTTAATAATACACATGAAAAATCTTCCGACATCTATAGCTTTGGTGTACTCATGTGGGAAATTTATACCTGCCGTCCACCGTTTAATGGAAAACGTGACAATGAATTAACATTAAATCTTTGTTGGGGCCTAAGAGAGAAACCAGAAATAGGGATGCCATTAGATTATATCAGAATATATGAAAGCTGTTGGGTTCTAGACCCTTCAATTAGACCTGAAATTCCTAAACTCATGAATGATTTAAATAATCTTAAACCAGAACCAAAAGCCGACAAACATTATATATGGAGAAAAAATACTTATAGCACCTTACCAATATGGAGAAAAAATACATATAACACCTTACCAATAGGTTTGTAACAATATGAATAAAGTATTGAATCAACTAAATTTTTTTTTCTAATTTACTCTTAATTTAATTAATTATAGAAGTACCATATAATCAAAATTTACCCATAATTGTTGTAGAAGATTATACTAACAAATTACATAATGGAAGCCTCACGAATAATATGGAAATATGTAAATATACAACAGCAGATTTAAAACAAACTATCACTATAGAAACATTTAAACCATTATTCGAAAGTGTTTTACAACTTGAAAAAGATTGGATGCCGTTTTGTAATGTGCAACTTAATATAAAAATTTTTGAAGTATTAGGTGAATGCATCATGGATACAAAATATAATGTTGAAAAACTTAAAATGCGAAAGAGCAATATTGCTTCATTTGCAACATTAGAGAATCATATATACTTTCAAAGGCTTTTACAAAATATCACCGATATCAAAGATTTTATTTGTAGCATTTCTCAGATCGGAGGATTAAAATCTTATATTCAAGAATATGATCATGGAATTTCATTGAAAAAAACTAAAAGATAAATATGACGAATTATTAAAAGAATTTAATAATTCCATGTCATCTCTTGGATTCAAATCTCAAATAAATGAACAAACTGATGAAATACTTAAAGATATTAAAGAGACAGAGAAGGTATTTAATCTAAACTTATGAATTTTATAATTAAAATTATAATTTTAAAACATAAAAAATCTTTTTCTAGTTTATTCGAGCATTCGGATGTAATTTTAAGGACAACAACAGCATGTTTAACATTATTGACCGTATAAGAGCCGAAATTAAGGATGCTGCTACTAATGATAGTCTATTTGCTGACCTACCGATAGGATCTTTAAATGAATCCAAAAATGGAGATAACGCTACCAGAGTCGAAAGATACTGCTACTCATCTGATTGTCATGAAAACAACATGTTGCGTATTCAAATAACGATTTTAAAAAATTTAGGAGGTCTAGTAAACATAGCAAAATTTTACAGAATCGTGAAAGATGGAGTAGGTTCAATATATATATCTACTGAATGGTCAAAATATGGAAATTTAAAAACGTATTATAGTCAATGCAAACCTTTAGCTGTTTCAATTAAGAAAAAAATTGCATTTGACATATGTAATAGATTGGTGTTTCTAAATTCTGTAGACTTTCTACATCGAAATATCAGATCTGAAAACATTCTGATTACAAATGATCATAACGCTAAACTTACAAATTTTTGTTTAGTCGATTAAACGCAAATGATTCGAGGAAAATAAATATCAAAAATACTGGAATTGAATATGTGGCACCAGAAATATTAGAACGAATTTACACACTCACTCATATCCAGGTCCACTGACATTCGATATAAATTATGACTTTAGATGTGAAATTTATAGGTAGGTTTATAAAATAATTTATAGACTAATGCTATTATTAATATTTATACAGTTCAATATATGCCAAAGCTTTTTTTCAATAACAAAATTTTTTGATATAAACGTTTATAATGAGTTTAACTGTATTTATAAACTTTTTGATTATAATTCAGCTTTGGGATTCTTCTATGGGAACTCGCAAATGAAACACCTCCATATGGAGAGTGTGATTGTGACTTCGATAAAAAAAAAAATTTAATTCTTTGTAATAACGACGACAAGTGGAACTTTAATAATGCTATGCCGAAAGAATACATAAATATTAGCAAAGAAGGTAAATAGTAAATATATTTTAGTGATATGATTTAATATTACGAATTAAAAAACAAAATCAGATTAAGATGAATTTTACATATTTTAATTTGAAAACAATACGTCAAGATAAAATTTTGGAATGATTATTTTTAATATTAATGAACAAAACTTTCATTTTAATCGATTTTGATTTTAATTTTGATATATCTGATATACCACATTTTAATATTGATTCTTAATGCAATTACTTTTCATTAGCACTTAAATTTGAACCAGAACATCGCCCAGCAATCTGCACCATGTATAAAATACTATATAATCTAATATCTACGGAATAGATAAGCGAAATAATTCTAGACCTACATTATAGATTTGTTTAATCTAGATGTTGTTGCTATTGATGATTTATTATCTTTAGTCTTCTATTTTTTCTTTTGCTTAATTTATATTTATTTATATTAGTTTGATTATCCCATTTTTATGCATAGCTTTATTTAATATATTTAATATTTAATTTTCCTTTTAGTTGTTTTAGATAAAGGCTTATAAAGCAGTCATGCAATATATAAATGTGGGTTATTTGATTGTCTATTATTAAATTTATTAGAATGAGTAGTTATATTGTATTTTAATTCGTGGTTTTATTCTCTAATAAAGAGCTTCTTGATTTCTCATTTGGTATATTTCTTCGTGACTTCTCAAATATAAACTTAATATGTCCCTTACTAATATCTTGGCTTTGTATATTGCTATGTTAAACTATTTGCCATTAATTAATAAGGTAGCTGCGCGACGTTATCGCATAAAGCCAGGAACGGAAAATACAATTTTAAATTTAACATTAGTATACAGAATATTTTATAGAGATATTAATAAAAGT